ACAAAACATACATAGGAAAGCTATTGAGTTAAGAATATTGCTTTCCTGGACCCTGGACTCACAGTGAGGTCCAGGTGCCGAATTCCAGGTCCTATTCCATGTGGACCCCATGCTTCCCAGCCAAAGATGGACTTTCAAACCTTTGAGTGATAGCTACAGCTACCACAGGAGACATCGTCAGGCATGGTCCATACCCAGTGACCCCATGGGTCTCCTGGCCTCAAGTGAGGAAGTCTCAGTCCTGTCTAAAAGAATTCTAGGACACCAAGGAGGTAATTGTAGACATTTTCTTCAGGACAGCTCCAGGTGACAATGATGAATTTTAGAATACTCTGATTCTATGAGATGTTGGAATATTGATCAGAACTGCATTAAATCTGTACATCAATTTTGGATGTCTGGCCATTTTCACTGTGTATGTTATTCCTATCAAAGACAAGGATTTCTTGTACTTTTCATAATAATTTTCAATGTGGAGATCTTTTACATCCTGCAGTAGATTGATTCTTAGTTATTTCAGGTTTTTTGAAAGCTCTTGTGCAAGGTGTTGTTTCCCTAACTTCTCTCTCAGTGAGTTTTTTATTCATGTACAGGAAGTCTATTCATTTCTGAGTATTTATTTTGTATCCAGCTACCGTACTGAATTTTGCTTATTAAATCTAGGAAACTTTTAGTGGACATTTGAGTGCAGTATCTGTGCACTCATCCACAACTACTTACAATTTAACTCCTTCCTTTCCTATCATTATTCCTTTGTTTCTTTCTTTTGTCTAATTGCTCTGGCTAAAGTTTCCAGCACTATATTGAGTAGGAACAGAGACAGTGACCTCCGTGTCACTGTCCTTATTTTAGCGTGAGAACTTTCACTTTTGTCCATTTACTGAGATGTTGGCTGTTGGTTTGTCACAGATGGCTTTTGTCAGATTTAGATAAAGACCATCTATGCCAATTTTCTGTAGCGTTTTTATCATGAATGGGGATTTGGTTTGTCAAAATATTTTCCTGCATCTACTGTAATGATTACATAGTTTTTACATTAAAATGGTGTGTTTCACCATTTTAAAATGGTGTGTTGAACCTGCATCATGGGATGACTCTAACTGGTGTACAGTTTAAAAGTAAATAGTAACCCTGCAATTTTCAAAGAATCAGGATGATGCATTCCTTAATTATGGTAAATAACTTCTTAGTATCAATTCATCTTATCCTAACAATTAAAATTGTTTCTTATTAATAAAATTTAGGAGTAATTTTAAGGCTAATTCACAAAAACTTCTATGCCTGTATGCATGATGTTAGAATTTTTCACTAATTTAAATAATTTCTAACTAAAATTTGGATTAATTGCTTAAATTTTGTGCTGCTTGTAAAGTATTCATAGGAAAGCTATTTACTTTTGTATGTTACTTTTAATTTTAGTTAAGTTAGAATTCTTTCCCTCTTAATTGATTTTCAACGGATCTCTTCTGATTTAATGATATTTGTATCAAGGCTGGGGATATAGCTTACCAGCACAGCAAGTGAACTTGATTCCCAGTACCAAAACAATTTTGTATCAAGGAAAATTAAACAAAAATTTCACTTCAGCTGAGGATATAGCTCAGCAGCCCAGAACCTGCCTGGCAAGCATGAGATCATGAGTTAGATTCCCAGTACCAAAAGTAAAAACAAAATACAATGAAATAAATGAAATAAAAATATCACTTTGTGGTATATAAATTCCACTATGGTTTTTCCTTCTTCAGTCATGCACATGTGTCACTTTACATCTATCTACCATCATATGAATGTGCACACATCCGCATGGTTAGTATCGATCATTCACCATGGACATGCACTTGTAACAGGCAGGAACACTGCATTTGTGAATTGATGACTTCATCCCCTCCAGGAACACACTCAGATTTGTGTGTGTAGCTCTGTGTCGCTGTGTACTCACTGCAGGTGCTGCTCACTGTCCAATGCTGAGATAACAAAAGTCACAGGGAGGAGGAGGCACCAGGATTCTGGCTGGGTGGTAAAGGGGAGGCAGGCCCAGACTTCACCCTTTGTGTCCCTGGTGTTCAGGGTCCTGAGAACCAGCCCTCGACCCTGGGCCTGGTGAATCAGGGACTCATCTCCAGGAGAATTAGCTCACATCTTCCCATGCCCCACAGCATACAATGGCTTCGTGTCACCCCTTTGTCCCTCAGCCCTTCAATACTATGAGATGGCTTCTCAGTCATTGTTCAGTTCTGAGGTTCTATGATGCATCCTCAGGCTTGGAGGTCTCCTCCTGGTCACATCTCATCCACTATTATCCATGATTACAGTGCCCGTGTTGGTTACAGTGCTTTAGGATCTCTGTAGCTACATATCGGTTCTCTCTTGGATTCCCACCCACTTTGGGACACCCCAAATATTCTTGCTGTTACTAGTGTGTCCATCTTGGCTTTGAGCCCTTCTTCTGACAAGTCCAGCTCCTCCTTCTACTTGTCTCATTTGGAGATTTGTTGTATTCTTCAAATCACATTTTCTCGATGCCTTGTAGTTTATTTTAGACAGCTAGAGTGACCCCCCAGTTGAAAGGAGCTGCTGTCATCAGACCTTCACTGTTGCACTGGTCATGTTGGGGGTCCATTGCTTCCTAATCTAAAAAGTACCCCTGGCTGAACCTCCCATGTCCAGGCACTGCTGATTCCATAACCACTCAGAGAGTGAGGCGAGTACAGAAGAAGCAGAAGCCAAGGTCCAGAGAGAGTTTCTAAAGTCCAGACAGCGTGGACAGACAATGATGAACAGGAATGAGAAGAAAATCAGCCACCACCCAGCTCAGGAGAATTCTACCCAGGAATCAGGGGTGCTGAGGGTGTGAGAATGGCTCAGAACTCATTCACAGGGAGATGGAATTGGACTCCATGCATTGGGAAAGGGAGGTCCTTGCAAGGGAGTTTAGCACAGGAAACCCACAGCTACACTCTGGAAATGAGCTGCTTCCCTTGAAGTCTCCTTCTTGTCCTCTCCCCGGGACACAGCTTCAAGTGAGGAGTACAGCCAGGGATCAGTGAGTCTGTGCTCCCATTTACCTGCAGCAAGCCTGCACCAGTGTCTTATACAGGCAGCAAGGTGTCTTCCTGGCCAAGTGCACACGAAATGGTGCTGAAAACAAACATCAAATAGAATGGAAGACTTCTTACACTGAAGAATCTTGAACACAAGTTTTATTTTAATGCTGGTGTGATGAAACGAGTCAGAGTCCTAATCATCAGACAAAATTCAGCTTGGAATTTCAGTTTAAATACATTTCACAAACAGGAAATACAAGCCTAATAACTGATTATTACCTGATTGGTTACATGAATTAAGCCCTACGTTGTCAAGTAAGCTAGTTCTAAGTAGATTTACTCAAAAGGAATTGTTTATCACAAGGTAGGAACACTGTGGGAAGGAGGGAAAGGAGGGTTTGAATGGAACAGGTGGAGTTAAATATGTACTTGACTGGGCCAGGCTGTTCCAGACGTGAAACTTGTGAAGAAAGTTGAAATACTATGCATATTTTTCTATGGAGTGGAAAACACAAGCATTACAGCTGGACACAAAGAGGCTGACCTAGCCTGTCATCTGAGAGAAGCAGCTGGACACAGACAGACAAGGCTGAGCTTCGCAGGTGTTGTGTGTGAAAGGCACGATGGGCACAGTCGCAGGTCATTGATAGATACTGTTACTTTTGTCGTGATGTCCATGAGTTTGGTCCTTCTATGATTTTGCTCTTACAATAACTTTGATTGGATTAATCCAGGAAAATATCCTGAGCGACATTTCTCTTTCAACATTTCCAAACTTGTAGTAATTTACTTATCTATTCTGATTTCATGGACTGAAGGAAAGTCACCCTCTTTAGCAAATGGGCTAACTCGGAGAGCTGACTACATGTGAAGAGGAGGGAAGTGACAGACAGATCCTTCAATAAGTACTAAACTACTCTCAAAATGCCTTTAAATCTAATAGTGAAACAGAAACACTTAACCTCCTAGAAGTCTGGGTAGGCAAAACATTGAAATCATGGGCGTGGGCCAAAATCTTCATAACAGAAATTCAACTGCCCATAAGATTCACTAAGATGCTCATTCTGGCTTGACTATTGTCTCCTATGGAAGTCCTGTAATGTTTACAATGCTTAAGTTTTATTGGTCTTGTTCTCTACTGTTTTGTTCAACTTTATAATATCTAATGAGATAGACAATTCTTTTTAAGGAAACAAGAGACATTGTTGATAACCATTGTTGATAACCTTGTACTCTGTTTTACATCATGTGCTATGTCTATCCTTGGTTTTGACTGACAGATGTGTTTTGCCATATTTGACTTTATTCTCTCCCCCCAAAAAAGTAATAAGAACTAAGGAGTAATAAAACCCAAAACGTGTATATTTTGTTGTAAAATAGAGAGGGAGAAAAAAGAGCTCTAAAGGATACAACAGCAAGTGTGTTTAGGGGTGTTAAATAACTGACCATATTAATGTTTTTGGTTGGATCATTGAACACAACTGTTTGGAGCCTCACTGTTTGAATGTCCACTTTGTATGCTTTGATACTGTGATTTGAGCAACTATCTCTAAGATGATAATATGTAATCTATTAACTGGTGATTTCTTACTGTTTTTTTTTTTTTTTTTTTGCAGTTCTGTATTACTTGTACCCTTACACCGCTTTGTTTTGTTTTGTATTTTTCTCTTTTTCCTTTTAAATAAAATTAGAAAAAAAAAGAAAAAAAAGAAATTCAACTGCCCAAGAAATAACGTCAAGAAGCCATAAACTGGCATTTATCAAATTATGACACTTGAGAAAGTGTCATGGTTTATGTCTGTGTCCCCCAGGCCTCATGAGTTTGAATTGTGCATTTGTCATTCATTCATTTTCTAGTGCTTGGATTGATGGTGTCAGTGCTCCAACCACAAAGGGGTGGAGCCAGGATGTGATATAATGGCAGGAAGAAGGTGTGTCTTGCTCTTTGCTGGTTCCAGCTTGCTATTTGCAGCTGCCATGAACTGCAGCCCAGCCATGCCTGCCTGCCCTGGAGCCAACTGAGTGTGGACTGAGACCTCCAAAAACTGTAAGAAATAAACCTTTCCTTTCCCAAATTTGGGCTTCAGGTATTTTGACTCAGCGATGAGCATAAAGTAACTAAGACAGAATTTGGTACCAAGGAGTGGGGTCATGTGCTGTGACTATACCTGACCATGTTTTTCGAGAGGCTTTGGAATTCGATTGTGGGTGGAGTTTAGAAAGGTTTGGACACATCGCCTGGATGTGTAGAGCTGGAGCAGCTTAAGCTGTTCTGTACAGAAGATTCTGGTCAGAGCTCAGGAGACCAGAAGGCTGATAAAAAGCCTCATGGTAAAGAGCAGGCTTTGGAGGATTCTGCTGGGAAGGACTGCATTGGCTGTTGGACTCCACATGATGTGTGTTATGGCTTGGCAGAAAGTTTGTCTACATTTTGCTCCTGCCCAGAGACTTTGCCTGAGACTGAGACAAAGGGCAATGGACTGATTAATCTTGAAAAAGTAATTAAAAAGCAATCAAACATTGAGGCTGTCCCATGGCTATTGTTGAGGGCTTTCAGTCAGCTTTATGTTTCGAATCAAGAGCAAAGAGCCCAGGAGGATAATTTCCACTACTGTGAGTTTGGCCAGAAGGAAAATTCCAAGAAGGCTGTGGATTGTAAAGACAGAGTTGAGATTTTGATTCCTGAGGGGAAACAGAGAGATAAAAAAGATGGCCCTGGGGCATCCCAGGAAGCAGGTCCAAACCATGTGCAGCCTCACAGCAAAGCTGAAAGAATTTGCTCAGAGGAGAAAGCTGCAGAGTGCCATGTTCCAGAATGGCGACAGAGGCCACATGAGGTTCCAGAATGGTGGCAAAACAGTGAAGCTTTTCATCACAATCAGGAAAACAGGCCCTGAAATCCTGACCCCTACAGCCAAGAAGCAGAATAGCCTGTCTGCTGCTTCAGCTAGCAGCTAACCTTGGCGGCATTCACAAGGTGCTGATTTTAGGTGCAAGGAAAATGCACAAATTCTGAGGGTAAGATGGCTTCCACCTCGATTGCAAAGGGGCTGGGCGGCCACGCAGTGTGTCCCTGAGAGAGCAATTTGAGAAGATGTTAAGGTGAAGCCCAAGGTGCAGTGGAAACCCCAGAAGTTTAGAAAAGCCAGGAAAGTGGATGATCCAAGGAAAGCTGCAAAAAGTGAGCAGAGAAGATTTAAGAGAGAAGCTGCAGGAGCTGATATCCCGGGAAGTGCCATGGGGGTGGAATCACCCAAGCCTTTTGGAGCTTGCAACCAGATTGCTTCAGATGCTGAGCATGGAACTCTAGGACTTAATGTTTGCCCTTCTGGATGTTGGACTTGCTTTGTGTCCAATGCTTTCTATTTCACTGTTTGTAATTTTGTAATGGTAATTTTTATATTGTGCCTTTGCATTTCAGAAATGTTTAACCTTGTTTCATTTGTACAGGGGTTGCAGTTAAGAGTTTGCCATAGATCTCAGAGGAGATTTTGGACTTGGACTTTTCAGCAATGCTGAAGCTGTTAGGACTTTGGCAACTCTTGGAGGTGGACTAAGTGTCTTTTGTATAGAGGATGTACATGACTCCTGGGGGCCAGGGGTGGAATGTCATGGTTTATGTCTGTGTCCCCCAGGCCTCATGAGTTTGAATTGTGCATTTGTTATTCGTTCATTGTCTAGTGCTTGGATAGATGGTATCAGTGCTCCACCCACAAAGGGGTGGAGCCAGGATGTGGTATAATGGCAGGAAGAAGGTGTGTCTTGCTCTTTGCTAGTTCCAGCTTGCTGTTTGCAACCGCCATGAATTGCAGCCCAGCCATCCCTGCCTGCCTTGGAGTCAACTGAGTTTGGACTGAAACCTCCAAAAACTGTAAGAAATAAATCTTTCCTTTCCCAAATTTGGGCTTCAGGTGTGTTGACTCAGCGACAACCATAAAGTAACTAAGAAAGCAAAGGAAACAACAGAGTGAAGAGGCAATAAAAAAATGTGGAAACATTTTATTCCCAGCTACAATTGAGAGAGAGGACTGATATTTAGAATATATAAAGAACACAAAAATTAGATATCAAATAAAAGACTGTTATGGGTGATACATTTTGTCAACTTGAGTAGTTTAGAATTTTAACTGATTCAGCAGGGAGCCAGGATCTTGTTGTTAATATTCGCATCCTACACAGATTTCCTGAGTGCTACATGCTCCTACTGGAGGGAAGGGGTGGCCAGTGTACAGTATAAAGGAGGAGAAGAAGCTTCTGTCCCTACTTTTTCCTAAGACTGCTGCCTTGAAGTGTTGCCTCTGTGCCATGACACCCTGCTATGGAGCCAGCTGTTTATGGATTGAAACCTCCAGAAATGGTAAGCTAAATAAACTTTTCCTTCCTTAATTTTGAGTATCAGGTATTTGTCCCAGCAATGAGGAAAAGTAACCAAGACAAAGACCTACTAAAAAGTGAGTGACAGAAGAGAGGAGACAATTCCCTGAAGAACCAGTAGATATACCAACAAAATACAAATAAAATGTTTGACAGTTCTAGCCATTAGAAAAATGAAAATTCAATGACACTGAGATTTCCTCTTACTGAAGAGAGAATGATAAACTGCAAGCAATCAAATAGTAACAAATACTGTTAAGAATGTGGTAGAAATACAACCTCTTACATCTTTGGTGGGAATGTAAACTAGCAAATAATTAAGGGAGTAAATAAATTAATGTAAATATTTCTCAAAAAGCTAACAATGCTAACTCATTTGATTCTGCTACCCCCTTCTAGGCTATCTTCCCAAATTATTGAAAGATATATTAGATGCGTGTCAGTAATTACAACACCATGCGTCATAGCTGCCAAATCTCAGAAGGGCCCTAATGTCCATCAAGAGATGCATGGATGGAGAAAAGGTGGTAGCCAGGCATCATGGCAGACATCTGCAATCCCAACACCTAGGAGGCTAAGTAGAAGGAGCACCTTGAATTTGAGGGCTGCCTGGGTTACTTATTCATTTCTAGGCCAGCCTGAATTACTTGGTGAGACCCTGTCTCCAAACACAAACAAACCAGAAAAGAAAAGGCGGTACTTACACAGAACAGTATACTGTTCTTTTATTAAGAAGTCTGAATTTGAAACATTTGTAGGAAAATGGATATACCTTAAAAACAATGCTGTATAAAATAAACCCATCACACAAGCTTAAATCCCATGTTTTCTCACATATAAGGAAATCAAACTATAAATAAGAAGCAAAAAGAAAGAACAAAAATGTGGAGCTTATACACAATGGATCATTACTCTTGCATTAAAAAGGTAAATTAGTTTTACTTTTAGGAAGTTGGATGAACCATGAGATTAGAATTTTAAGTTAAATAAATCAGATACAAACTTTAAATATTACATCAAGCAAGGAAATAAAACTATCACATGTTTAAGATAAAGTACAAAAGAAACACTAACTATACACAAATTAAAGAACAAAATACAAATAGTTCTTAAAAACTAGGAGATTAAAGTTTTGCAAGAGATGGAGAAAGACTGTAGGGAGGGGTGTGGAAGAGGGTGAAACATGAGTCAAATGTGTGATGTGTGTATTGCAGCTCCACACACAGTGTCATTAGTATGCGCTGGAGTCATTCAGCAAAGAGAACAAGGGTTCAGTGTACACAGGAAGAAGCTGGTTTGGGTACATTACCTTTATTTCATATTAACATACATGCTTTTCTAATCACATCATAATCACTTCCATTTATTTATTAATAAAATTTATATATCACAATAGGATGGAACTAAACTTTTAGGTTCTAAATCTAGTTTTCTTGTTTAAAATATGTATACAGCTATACATGTACACATAAGTTGTATATACACATCTGTAATTATGGGCATTTTACTGTATATCCATATATACAAGCACAGATAATTCTAAGTATTCATACAAATTTTTAATATTGTTCAATTAGAATACTTTGTTTACCATTGATTATTCTACAAAGACTACACAACTAAAAGGCAGAAAAACGGGGCACCTCCCCTTTCTGAAATCACTGCCATCCTAGAGTATTGTTCTCTTCTCATATTTCCAGGAAGCACTTCCACTTTAACCTGCTCTGTTCACAATTTCATAATTCAGCTTTGCAAATGAAGTCAGTGTGTACAATGATAGCTGTTTCCAATTTGGAGGTGACACCAAGACAGATGGGAGGACACAGGTCTCAAAGACACAGAACTCTGGAAAATTTTTGTCTTGCTAATGACCTCCAGACTGCAGTTGTATGTGATGGTGAACTTTTTCAGGCTTATGTATGAGTGAGGTTTTATGCTATTGTGTTCTAACTGCTTTATAAACCTAAACAGTATACAGAGTTGTATGTGATGGTGAACTTTATCAGGCTTATGTATGTGTGAGGTTTTAGGCTATTGTGTTCTAACTGCTTTATAAAACTAAACAGTATACAGAGCAGATAAAGTCCCTCTAATAATGAGGAAATTTTAAGCTAAGAAATACAGCTGTAGGGGCTGGGGATTTTAGCTCAGCGGCATAAGCACCTGCCTTGCAAGCAGGCACTCGTGAGTTCGATCTATGGTACCGAGAAAAAGGAAAAAGACAAAAAAAAAAAAAAGAAGAAAAGAAAAGAAAAGAAATACAGTTGTAAACAAGTACATTCTACTTAAAAGGATATTTACTAAAAGAGAGCAAATTTAGATGAGACCTTTATGTCCTTTAATATTTAATACTTGGACCAAGCTAACCAACTGGTGAAGTGAACATTTATAATGGCAAAAACTTGATGTTTCCAGTATAATAATATCATAATTGTTCTACTAAAATGCTGTTTACATTTTACTTCAAACTTTCCCTGTACAAATTCTGTTATCTATTAACATGCTACAAGAACTTGTCTTCTAAAAGATTACTATGATTGATAAAAGAAATAACAGTTCTCTGCCATACTTTATATTTCAAACTGCTCAATATATAGACAAGTTTAGAACTGCTAAACCTGCTTCTTGCACTTCAGCAATAGTGTAACTGATCTCTTGGTTGTTCACCAACCAATACTGGGGAATCAAACCTGAACTGGGCCAAGAAAACATTCAATAATGTGGCCCTTGGCCTCCAAGTCGTCCAGGACCCAGGTATAATGGGACAGTCCAGTTAGTCACCCAACCTAATGAGTAGGGGGACTGCTGGACTCCAGAGGCAGGAGTCAACCATGACACCTTATGGTCAAAGGAGGGTTACAAAAGACAGAAAGTCTTCCAGACTTCCAAGGGGAGCCACACAGGCAGACCACGGCCATCCTGGAAAACTACACCGCATAGTGAAATATTAGAGAAAGCTAAGAGACTCCTCACATAATCCAAAGTAATCGTTGAGAAGCCTTCACTATCTTTGAGATGGGTGGGTAGATGAGGAGGAGGAGGAAGATAGATAGATAGATAGATAGATAGATAGATAGATAGATAGAGCAACTAGTTTTACTTAACACAAGTTTTACAATGACTTCGTTTTAAACACCCAATGGAAAAATATAACAAAAGACATACAGAGTGAGAGTAATGTGAAGCAAAATCCTAGGCTCCAATCTGCTCTAGCCCATTCCAGAGTCTCCAGTTGCATCTGTTACTCATCATCATTGTGGCTCAAGACTACAAGGTAACAGTGGCAGTGTAGAAACACAGCCAGAGCCTTGGGGTCTGGAGGGCCCCTGGGGTCTTTGTAGACATTCAGAGAGGCATCTATGGGAGAGTGGTTCCCAAGAGATTCTTGCAGATGTGCAACTACAGCACATTTCAGAGAATCAGCTGAGTGGCTCTGCCCAGGTTTCTACCCTAGACCCCTGGGAAGGAGATGATTGGGGAGGCTGGGAACACAAAGTCCCTACCCTGTGTCAGCCTCAGACATTAGAGGGTGGAGCCACCCATGTTCGGGATCTCTTGGAACAATAGATCTTCTTCCTCAAAAGTTTAGGACCCAGGCTGACAACTTGGGGGGCAGTGGCCAAGCCAAGGTCCCAGGATCTGCTCTCTGTGCCTCATGCTCCCAGCAGTGGGATGGGTAGAAGCTGGAAATGAAGTCTCTTTGCATTGTCCTCAGGCAGAAGGACTGTGACCTGGGGCCCTGGAAATAGGATGCGGGCCATCCTTTGGCCTTTATGGTGTCCTCATATGTGGGTGTTACTTTCCCAACTAGGCCTGACAAAAGACCTCCTGGTCAGGGTGAGTCTGGGCTGAGCACCAGGGTCTGGGGTGCTAAGGGAGAGGGAGCTGTGCCTGGGGACAGCCAAAGCCACAGATTCCATCTGGGAAAGGGGTCATTGGCCCCCATCAGGGCTCCTTGTCCAGGTCTCATCCACTGGCAGTGACCCCTCATACCCTGCTTCCAGCCCCCCTCCAGGAACTCCTGGGTGCTGAATGGTGTCTGGGCATGAGCCATGAGTGTCTCCACTCTGCAGAATGGACCCCTCCTTGCATGGATTTGATGGCACCACAAGACTCTTGGTGAGAAAAGGGAGAGAGATAGCATTAAAATAAAGTAGCACCGCTGACCTGTGGACTGGTGTGAAGCCATGTAACACAGATGTAACTGGACACCTCAGAAAGGGGCTCAGAAGCTTTTGCAGATTCAATAGCTAAAATATTTCAGATCTAATACAAACTAGGAGCCCATGGGATCCTGACTTGTATGACTGTGTTCAGGGCCTCAGAACTGGCCCAAGTTTTGAAGTTGGGCAAGAAATTGTGATTTTCATAGAATGCCATGCTGTTCCCTCAAGGAAGCATGAGACACAGGTACACTGCATGGCAGAGAGGAGTGATGAACTGGGTCTTGTGTGCTTCCCAAAGCGTCCTGTGCTGTGGACCTGTGCAAGCCACACCCCAGGAACAGGGGAACTCACAGACAGAAAGTAGGAGCTGAGAGGAGTGAAGGGAGAGGAGGGGCAGCTCCATGGGCTGTGGGCTCTATATTGGGTCACAGATTTTCCTCAACAGCACTGAAGTTGCAATAAGAACAGTAAACTGAAGTACTGATGACCTATAAACTCCTGACCCCAAGAGGAGGTGCCCACGTCCCCGCAATGAAGCAGGACCCCACCAGGGCAGGGAAGCCCTGGTTGTCCGGGGTCAGACATCACCCCCTGGTGACATATTCCCATCAGGCTCAGGGATGGCATGTCCCTGTGCAGGACTCAGGCTGAGCTGCAGCCTCTCACATCCTCTGAGTCTTGGCCAGGTGTCTGCATGTCACAGTGGAAGTCCTTCTGCACTGAGCACCTTCCAGATGAGCTGATCCCAAACCACCTCTGGGAGGTGAGGTCACCACCATCTTCCTACTGTGATTTTGAAGGCCAGGATGGCACATGCCCTAGGTGGCCACGAGTAAAGGTCACTTACGTCTTACCTGTAAACCAGGCATGCCATGTACAGCACAGAGAGGGCCCAGGGTGGGTCGAGGAGCTGTGGTCTGAAGCAGAGGGGAAGGCAGCAAGAACAGCTCAGCCATGCTGACTGGGAGCCTGTGCAGGAGTTGCTGACTCTTCCTGAGATGGGAGAGCCTGGAGCAGAGTGGGAAGCAACACAGGCCCAGCCCGGAAGTGAGGCCTTGCTCTGCATGAAGCCGTAAGGCACATCTCCTGCCTCCTCCTAACTAACTCACCCAGCTGTCAGTGCCCCCTGGCTTCTACAGTCCACCCAGGTGGGGAGAGGAGCAGCCATGGGTCCTGTCTTCCCCTCTATACTGGTGAGCAGGAAACACTTGCACCCCGAGTTTCCTTCTCCCCACCCCCTGCCCTGATTACCCTGTGGGCCCCAGGGAGGATCCAGGCCATCCTGTCTGTGCCACCACAGTGGCCTCTCCCTGCCCTACTCCAGGCTCTGCTGCCCACACTGCTCATCATTCTATCTTCTGAGGCTTCTGTTGTTCCCATTCTCACCAGCCAGAGCCTCTGCAGGGCTCCATCTTCCTGCATCCACACAGCTTCTGTGATGTCAGAGTAGTGTAGCATCAGCAGAGCTCCCCACCTTCCCCTGTGAACAGAAGGACAGACACAGACAGGCAGACAGACACACAGACTCACAGACAACAGGCCCTCTCTGAGTCACTGCCACACTTGTGCCTTCTCACCGTGGCTCCCTGGCATAAGGGGAGCTGGAAAGCACCATCCTGCCCTCCACCTGTGCTGTGGGAAGAGAACTTCAGGTGGCAGCCTGATCCACTGCACATGAGCTCAGACCTTTTGCAAGGTCCTAGGGGAAACCCACACTCCCGCAGAGAACACCCATGGGCTCCCTGCAGGGCCTGAGGCTCCTGCCCCAGAGTCATCAGAGGTTTCCAGGTGTGCATTCCTCCTGCCTGTCGTCCCCACCTGGTAGAGCTCTGCAGAAACCAAGAAAGTGTTCATGTTTAAAGCTTTTCTGACTCCTTAAAGATAAAACTCAATCCTACAGGGGACACCACCTGGTGATTGAGTTCTCTGTGCTCCTCTTCATGGAGGAAGCTCTGACCCCACCCTGGTCCTGCTCTGGCCTCAGCCTCTGTCCCTTACTGTCTGCAGATTTGCCCTGACCCAGTTCATTGCACTCCATCTGCTACTGCATCCTGTCACCCCCTTGCTATTTCTGTGCCCCTTCTGTGAAGCACCCATCATCTGACATCAGGGGTCTGAGTCCTGGGAGATCTGGAAAAGAAGGGTTCAGCTTCACCAACAACTCACACCTGGCACTGTGACTATGCATGGTGAGTGCCTGGTTGGCAAGGCTGGGTGACAAGGATGATGGCAGGAGGACACGATGGCAGTCACAGGAGGTCTGCAAGAGGAAGGACTTGTTTGCCCCAGCTCATAAGCTTGTCTTCCCCAGCTGTCTCCAGTGAGCTGACAGTCAGGACTGAGTGCATCTCTGCTTTCGTCCACCTGCAGCAGGATGGGCTGAGGGAGGGAGGAGACTCTTGGGAGGCTCTGAGAGGAAGGAGCAGCCCTGGGCACCAGCTCCTGGAGGGGATAGTTTTGGATGGCTCCAGCGGTACTTCCTGTTGTGTGCTGGCCTCAGGGAGGTGAGGCCAGATCATGTAGACACCCGGATGGGGTAGACAGTGGATGGGGAAGGGGAATCCCAATTTCTGTATGAAGAGAACCTAACTACCACCCTGCCTCAGTTTGGGAGATCCACAGCCAGACTCAGGGCAGGCAGTTCCTTTCCCTGTACAGAGCTGTTGTGAAAGCCCTGTGACTCAGGGACCCAGCACTGAAGTATCCATATCATGTGTGTGTTGCCTGCCAGGCACTGTAGTCTCCTCTAGCTACCTAGTGACAGGAGCCCTACTACAAAAATCCCTAAGAGGAGGTTGGGTCACAACATTTACAGAGCTTGAAACCTCAACATGACAGTCATGGAAAACTGCAGAGAAGGACAAGAGGAAAGGGGTGGCAGGAATCTGCCCCTCACTCTGGCTCATCCTCTCTCCAGAGCTGTCTGGGAAGCCCTCCCACCTGAACCAGCATGGCCCTGTCCTGGACCCTAGATAAAACTTGACCCTCCAGTGTTGCTTTGACATTGGCTATGGCAGATTCTCTCTGTCCAAGGAAGGGCCAGATGACCCCTCTAGCACCTTGGCTGACAGCCCCAGGCTGGGAACTCTCAGGCCGACTTCCCTCCTAGGCCCTTGGAGTGGATCTCATGGGGAATGCTACAGATGCTATGGTGGACACAGCCTCTCCTCTGCATGGACTGCATCCAGTGACCCCCTGGACATCTTGATCACAGATGAGGACCCTAGGGCTCAGTCAGAGACCCGCACTCTACACTGGCCCTGATGTGGGAGTCCAAGAGGTAATGGCCAGGTTGATGATGGGGTCTTATACATGGAGAGACAGAGACAGGGGAGGAGAAGAGGGACGGAATGAGAGGAAAGAGATACAGACAGAGAGTGAGAGACAGCCCTGCTGAGACCTCAGCTCAGAACAAGCTGGGGCAGCCCCTCACTACCTGCTTCTCTCAAGGGCAGATACCTGCCACACCCTACCTCTTGGTGCAGCCAGGACCCACGGTGTCCTCAGGAGAGAATGTGACCTTGCAGTGTCAGTCACGGATTCCAATGGACACTTTCCTTCTGTCCAAGAAGAGGACAGCCAATCCCCCTATGCGTCTGAGATCAGAGTCTCGTACCAGGCTGAATTCTCCATGGCAGCTGCGAGCTCTGGGGAACGTACAGGTGCCTTGGCTCTCAGGACTCAGCTCCATATCTGTTGTCATAGTCCAGTGAGCCCTTGGAGCTCATGGTTTGTAAACTGAGCCTATTGTTTGTAAACTGAAAGGGATACTTAGTGCCCTGCTTCTTAGTACAGCTGAGGGACACTGAGGATTCAGGCCACAAGAAGGGAGGCTCACAGGGAGGGCCTCCCCTACAGATAGAGCTGAGGAGGACAGAGGATGGAGTGAGCTGTGCAGGGACTTCTCAAACTGAGCACTGAACACGGAGGCCTCAGGCCTTGCTCCCACTGTCCCCGTGCCAATATCAGAACTCAGGGTGTCATGTCTCCCAGCAGACACATTGTTGCTGCCACTGTTACCCTGCCTCTCCTTAGTCACCTGTGGATTCTGTACTCAGTGCACACATGACTCTAGAGGGGCTGTGCACTGCTCACCTGGTCCCTCGGGGATCCCTGCCAGCCTGTAATATCTGCCCTGCAGTCTCTGTGTGCTCAGGACTACTGTGCTCCCTGCTTCTATGATGTTTTAAAGAAAAACTCATCCTTACTGGCAAAAAAACTAGAAATCTGAAGCCAGGAAGATTTTTGGTATTTTTTGAATCTTGGTCACGGGAACTGAGATCTAGTTCCTAACTATTCAATGGGTCTGTGAAGAAATTAAATGAAAACTTTAAAAAAATTATTGAAATGAAGATATATGTTTATTAAAAGGAATCGTTCTTAAAGCCACTACTATTAATCCATTGTGGTCTGTCTTCCATTTGGTCCATATGTATCGCTCTACAAGTGTATCAGCTATTTACAGCTATTTACAGCTATTATACATCACTGCTGAATAAGACTCTTTATCATTACGTACTGACCTGCTTCATGTGTTTTTCCTCTTTTGGACTTACTAGTCCAGACTGTTATGCTGACTTATATTTTCTGTCTTCATGAGATGTCTCTCCCATCCTCTCGACTTCAGTCTGTATGCTCAAAGGCATCAGGATGTCTTATACGCAGTGCGCAGCTGGGTCTTGTAATTGGTTTCTTTTGTATTTTATTAAATCCACTTTCCACCACAAGACTGTAATTTAAAAATAGAGACATCTAACTGAAGAGATTAATCTACTACCATTCAAGAGTGTTCATAGGTTAATCTCATACTTCCTTTTTGTGAACTGTTTCATACCTGTTTTGTCATCTTTGGTAACTTTTTTCTTATCTTCTTGCCTTTGTGGTTTTGTGGATATTTGTTGAGATTTTTTTGCAGTCACCTTGGGTATCACTATTAAGACTTTTGTCAATATCATTTTATTAATAAAGCACCTAAAATTAATGTTTCACTTCCTGAGGATTTATTGCATGTTTTATTTCTCATAATGTATGCAAACTTTAGTTAATATAAAAATTCTTCAACTTCAATCATTCATAAAGTAGGTCTTGATTCCTTTTTTTTGAGACAGTGTTTCATCATGCAGCTCAGACTGGCCTTGACTCACTTTGTAGCCCAGGCTGGCCTTAAACTCTCAGAGACTCTCCTGCCTTAGCCTCCCATGTGCTGAGATTACAGGAGTGCACCACCACACTTCACTTTTTATATCATGAAAAATACCCAAGTGTGTATAAGAAAAATTTCAGTTTAGATAAATCAGTGTAGACTTCTATAAACCTACTGTGGCACTGTCCCCCTCAATAGATTTTCAATGTGTCTCTGATTATATACTGATAAATCGTTATGAACATCAGGGAGTGGAAGTTTTCATTTGTTTCCAAGTCACACACTATTTTTTCACTTCATGTAGATACATATTTACTACACTTCATTGTCTGAATATTCACAGCTGCACATGTGTACACAGACACCTTGCATGAGGATATAAACTTCACATGTGTGCATAAATTTGCAACAGCACAGGAAGGCTTTGCTGGGAACCATGGCACAGTCAGGAGAAATGGTGTGGATTTGATCACAGAATCCCAGGGAGTCACTGGCTCAGGTGTCTGGAATCCCTGTCCATCTTTCCGCTTCATGCTCATTCCTAGCAACTGCACCAGCAAAGAACAAGTCAGATCCCACAGCTCTCAGCTGTGGGGCTGGGCTACCAAGAGTAGGCACTTCCCTGGGAGTATGCCCAGGAACCCAGGGAGGACTTTGGGTTTCCCTGGCTCTGTGACTTCTTTGTTCACTCTTACTAGCTCTCACTTCCAGGATCACACAGTGGAGAACCTGGTATGCATGGGCATGACTGGTCTGGTCCTGTTGGGTGTCAGGATTCTGTTATGAGACCCTCGACAAAGCCAGAGAAGCCCTTGAGATGGAGCCAACAGATCAACATGAGAGACAGAAGACAATGCATCTTCTGAAGAGCAGAGGACTGGGAGTTAATCCAATGTTTCCAGGAGATTCTGGAAAGGTCCTGGGGTTGTAAGTTGGGGACTGTCAGCTGAGAGGAATAAAATCACTGCTGGTTGGGGAAAATGGCTGGGAGGGGCTGTGAAAGATTCTTCCTCCAGTATTCTGTGACTCTTTCTCTCCCTCCTGGTCCTGAGGTTCCCCGACTGTCCCTTCTTTTCTCACCCCCAACACAGGAGGGCCCAGTACAAGGTCAGGGTGGTCACCATGAATTATTTTGCATCATGGTCCAGGCCTCTTCTATGTAATTCATTTCATTTTGATCCATGCATGCCTTGATATGCATTAGTTCATCTGTCTACACAGCTGTGAAAATGTCTGCATTAACTGAATAAGTGTGAAAAGTAATCTAAGTGTAATATGCTGGTGCTGCATCCTCTGAGAACCTTAGTTCACTCTCCATCGAATGCCACCTTATGGTTTCTAGAGAAATGTCATATTTTGGAATCAATACCCCACTAATTAATGTGTCAGCTGGATGTCACACTGGGGAACCAGGTCTGCAAAGACAAATTTTTAGCCAGGTGCAGGCAACGGCACCATAATCTAGCACTCTGGGAGACGGAGGCTGGAGGGTTGCAAGTTCAAGCCCAGCCTGAATGATTTAGCAATTTACAATAAACTTGTCTCAAAGTAAGCAAGAAAAATGGGCTCTGGCTGTAGCTCAGTGTGAACATTCTGGGTTGATTCCCAGGACTACAAGAACAAAACCATCTTCACAAGCCCAAGCTTATAGCATTTGCCCAAGACTGTGATGTAAACACTCCCTTCCTAGGCACATGGGGATAATAGTGTACCCTGCTACAGAGCTGACCTCAGAGCCAATCTAAGTAATAAATTGGGGTATGTGGAGCACAAGGTGAGAGTACGAATTCCTTAAGGCAGTGTGTCTTCTTTCTACTTGGACTCGTGGCCCTTTAGGCTCTCTTTTAATCTCTAACCATGCGTCCCAGAAGTTTTCTGTTTGTAGCACCAAAAGTTCCCTACCTCTGCATATCCATCTCTCACATGAGTCTATTCAGCCCCCCATACACTGCCCATTTATTGTTTTGTGCACAGATGGGAGGAAGTGAATTGGACTTGGTGGAGAAAGGTCATCATGTCTTTAGCACACAGCAGCCACTGAGGGCTCTTAGGGAGGGAATTCTTCAGCTAAACAGTACCATTACTGAGGTGGAAAAGGCATCCAGCATGGCCACATCCCTTCCATAAAACTAAAGGGCCAGAAGGGGAGGGACAGTAAGGCTCCACCGGTAGAAGGGGCTTCACTAGGACAGAGGAGGCTGAGGCAACCCCACGTGACTATGTCTGGGGTGAGGATCCTCAACACAAATCCCACACTTCTTGTGAGTCCATCTTCTCCTCCTCTGGATTATGGTGTTTTGATCATATGTACAGTTTTCCCTTAGTATTTTTGAAATGTTTTAAATTATTATGGAGCAGTTTTCATTTATCATTTTTGGAATACTTTAAGTTATTATGAGCATATAAAAGTTTGCTTTGTTGAATTATGTAAGATCCACAGTTCTCTTTTCTCAGAACCAGTTCTATTCATTTTGTGAGTTAGTTTTTCTTTTTATGAGTCATTTGGAGTGCATGAAGTTTACAGTCACCGTGGGGAACAGTACATGCACATAATATGACTGGTTTCTCTTTCATTTCTTCCACCCTCAATCTTTCCTCATTAATTACCCTTCCCCCATTTGTTATGGATTAAGAATTGGTGGTCAACTTAACATCAGCTGAATTAAATCAGCATGGTGCTGAGTGTAGATGGCCCCCCTGAGGAAAGTTGCCAGCATAAAAGGAGAGGTGTCAAAGAACAGTGAGGCATTGTGGGTTCTCCTAAGTATTGCTGTTATTTGGAGTCACTGGTTCTCCTGGAGAAGCTTGTCATGCTGCCTTCCCCAATATGAACTTAGCTGTTATCATTGGAGGAGAATGGGACTTTATTCCTGAGAATGATTGCAGGTCACTTTGGTGGAGTTTTGGTCCTTATTTTAAGCATTGCTTCCTGGCTCTGGATGGAAAGATGTGTGCTATTTAATCTCTAGGAGAAGTTGTCAAGCTGCTTCCTGAAATTCTGTTTTTGGGCTAAGAGTGAGGAATAGGAAGAGGCCTTAGAATCACCTAGGGGACAGAGAATATTCTGGACCCATCTTCTGACTTCCTTATAGGGACCCTACCCAAACCCATGCTTTGGCCTGAAGTGGGTTCTTTGATACCAAAGGGGAGACATGTGAGCTCCCTGCTGTCAGGGTGCTGGAGCCTGGAAGTTCAATCTTCACAGAGAAGGGAAATCAAGGGCCTTATTGAGACCACTATATAGGACAATATCATTCTACACTACTAATAAAGCAGCATGAGAAGAAACCAGGAAAACAACTGCCTTCACAAAAGCTCCCAATACTGTTTTCCGGGTGGTGAAGTCCAGGAGGAAAAACAAAAGGCCAATTCACCCTTCCCATGAGCCAGCAGCAGTCATGCATGGCCTGGGAAGATAAACCACAAGCCAGGGTGGTGAAGTCCAGGAGGAAAAACAAAAGGCCAATTCACCCTTCCCATGAGCCAGCAGCAGTCATGCATGGCCTGGGAAGATAAACCACAAGCCAGTTCACCCCTCCCATGAACCAGCTGTAGACAGTTGGGACCTAGAAGGAGAATCAAGAAGCCAATTCTCCCTGCCTAGGAGTGAGTGGCAGCCAGAGGGTGCCTAGGAGGAGAAACAACAGGCCTATTTACCCTTCTTGTGAGCCAGTGGCAGGGAAGTGGGGCCCAGGGGGAAAAACAATGGGTGATTTGACCTTCTCTTGAAGCAATGGCAGCCATGCAGGGTCTAGGTGGAGAAACAAGATGCCAGTTTGCCCTTCCCACATGCCAGCCAGTGTGTGGGCTGGGAGACAATAACCACCAATCCCCAAACCACAACTCTTCACCTCCATACTGCTTCATCCTGCCATAAATAATCAACTGATTCAGAGAAACACAGGCTGAGATCATAGCACCTAAGGTACAAAATAAACTTAATGCTTCTATTGTTTGATTGATTTAGCAGCCCTAAAACTGGTAGTCTGGGCATCTTCTTAGAGAATAACAATAAGCAATGTGGCAATTGTGAGGGCCTCCCTTCTGTCTTGTTTTTGAAATCCAATATTGTTCTTACTGCTTTGGTTTGTTCCACTTGATTGTTTTGTTTTCTTCAATTTTCAGCTTTGATTCATTTTATTCTGTTCTGTTTTGTTTGATTTTATTATGTCTAATGGGCAGCACTTTTGAAGATAGCAAGAGGCATTATAGTAGCTATTGTTGATTTCCTATTATCCTGTTTTGAAATCCTGTGTCACTTTCACTGTTTTGTTTTGATTGACTTTATTCTGTTTGACTTTGTTGGTTTTATACTCTTTAAAATAAAATTTCAAAAAGAATAATGAAATCCCCAGGAACCAATGCAGTCAAGGAAGGGAAAGATATATACAATGAAAATTACAGAAAGTGGAAGAAAGAACTCAGAAAGGAGACTGTTATTAGGAAGATGAAGTGATTGGTGGGAGGCATATGTTTAACAATGAAGAATGGGGGGATGAATATAAACAACAAATATTTACACATTGAATCAGAAATTGTGAAACTAGTGGAGAGGATGAGTAATGGGGAGATAAGTGAGTGAAAATTAACAAAGGTTTTCATGTGCCTGAGAAAACTGCCAGAGTGACATCCATTAATCTGTACAGTCAGTGCACATTAATTTATTTTTCTTTATTTTTTATTGTACGGAAAACAGTAAAATACAACTTCATAGCAAAGTAGTAGGAGAATAATGATGGTTAGTGCATTACATATTATTATTTTAATGTAACTAATCAGAGTACAAGGCATGGGCATAAACATTCTCCAAACGATATTAGCACAAAACTTTCTTTTTAGTGAACTAAGAGAAACTACCAGCATAACTATTTTGTACTTTATTTTTGCTTTCTTCTTTTCCTTTCCCTCCTATCTCCTTTTTCCCATCCTAGTTTACTATTCTTTTGAACAATTTCTTCACATTTCACAATATCATTTTATGCTTTCCGCTCCCCAAACCAGGGAGACAATACAATATTTAGACATGTGAGTCTAATTTATTTGACTGGTCTCTGGTTACATCCATTTACCTATAAATGTCTTAAATTTATCCTTCTGTGTGGTCTAGTAGTAGTCCACTGTATAAACAGACCACATCTTTTTTTTACATTTTTTTTGTTTGATGAGCATTGGGTGCTTTCCAAGATTTAGCTATTACAAATCAATACACATTAATTTTAAAAGATGCAAAAAATAAAAACAACATCTAAGTCTCACAATTTTCCTTTCATATACAACAATAGCTACTACATATCTCTTCAATCATCGCTACCACCATCACCAATCAGCACTATCATCACCACGACCACATCCACACTGCTGTCACCATCATCTTCAGCATCAGCACCAGGATGCATGGTTGAGTTACCTGTAGAGGGTAACACGGACGTCTATGTCACCATGCCTAATCATGTACAGGTCACAACCTGAGCTCTTCATTTTGTAATAACAGCTTTCATGAGACAACTGCTATTTAAATTCACAAACTTGCCTTACAGCCCATTCGATTAAACTCCAAATGAATAAAGTATACCAAAAAATAGTGAATTACAGCTAATTCCATTGTAACATAATCATAAGCAGTTACTTTGAATCTATCATTAGGAAAGAAAATGAGGTAACAAGAAGATACTGTAAATTGAGCAACATAAAATAGACATTAATTCACATGGTACACACACAGAGAAAAGAAGACCAAGCCAAAATAGAAAATTATATATTGCTTAAGAAATTATATACAATTACCATATACAATTACAATACAATTTCAAAATATATAATTCCATATATCATTTTATAATTATGTAGTACATATGAAAGTAACATTGATCCACAAGCACATACACACATCAATTTTAATTAATAAGAATAGACAAGTGGCAAAGGATATGAACTATAATTAATAGGTTTAAAAGGGCACCTTTACCTATCAAAAGGTATTCATATTTACCTATGTCAAAGAGAAGTAGAAAATTAAATATCAAAAAAGTACAACATTATTTTTTGATAAAGTTAGAACGCTTTACCTACTGCTTTTAGTAATTATTATGATAGTCAGGTCTTGGTGCTGTTGGCAGAAATGCAACACTGGAGAATTTATACTAAGGGGAAAAGTCAATATCCACCAAAACAGAATGTGTATTCCCCAAAATATATATTCAAAGAACAGAAAAGGAATCTTCAACAATATAAAATTTCATACCCTAGTTTACTAATAGAAACACTGTTTGCACTTGTGGACTGTTTGGAAAGAAGGCTAAAATGTCACCAAAAGTTCATGGAATCAATTAAATTCATGCTCAACAGAGAGGAATTTGCCTTTGTAAAAAAGGAGAAAGTTGCCTTTGCCTGGAGTGTTTCCAGGACATACCGTTAAGTGAAGAGAACAGACTATTATAGCCAAGAAAAATACTGTGCTGGAGAAAACTGGATATTGATACAAGAATGCAAGAAAGTAAAAGAAATCCCCGACATGCCTGAGTATTGTTGCAGAAGGGACCCTTGGAAGGATCAACCTCATTCTTTTGTTTTTTTTTTTTTAAAGCAAAAGGACACCAAGAACAATAGTATTCAAATGCAAATGAACACATCTAGGGGCAGAAAAAGAAAGCTTTTCCTATAATGTAACTATCAGTGAGACAGAAAAACAGACCACTCTGAGACCTCCTGCTCTAAGAACTCAACCCAGACTGAGCCCTGTGCACCAGGTATAGTTATGCTCTTACATTATCTATCTTTTAACCACAAGAGTGCAGCAGTTTCCTCACCATCCTCCCTTAATGCACAAGCTTCACAGCCCCTTGTTACATGATTGCCTGGCCAGCCAAGGCCAACCAGGAGTGGAAAGCTGTAAACCTGTCACCTTTGAGTACCTGCTTTTGTTCAACTCTGCCTTTCCTGCCAGAAACTCTATGTAACAACTCCTCTAGCCCATATTTGGGACCCAGGTCTGGGGGTGCTGAACTCTTTAGAGCCTGTTGGCAGAGCAAACAGCTCCCTCTACTCTCTGAATGCCACTCTGTTATCTGATTCAAGGGTAAATCCAAAGTTACTGTAACATTTGACAAACTGAGATCACTGTAACACAGTGGTCTTAAAATGGGAACTACACATTCACTTAGGACCATGGTATTACACTGACTCAAGTTTCCTGCTACAAATCAATTATTCTTTAGGAAAAACAAATGGAAATCTTACTGGGAGAAACCTGGAAGGAATAAAATTACCCAAACAACCAAAGCGAACAATCCCCAATCAGGAGGAGAGAAGGACAATATCACTGGGGAGGTGCTCCAGCCAGGAATAAAAGCCGAGAATCTCATCACCAGGCACTGGACAAGACTCTGTCCTTGGAATTATCCAGTGACCTCAACATTTTGCTCAGCATCCAGCAGCAGCATCCCCAGATACCCCAGGATCGAAGCAGCTCCAAATCCTGTCCTGAATCCCCTTTATTCCCATCTGCCTCAGTCACTTCACTCACTAACACCAGCTGTGAACTGCAGCCATATGGAAAGTCACACCAAAGTCTCTTCACACAATGACTTGCACAATCAGTCCACTGGCCCAACCCATGCAGCTCCTGAGGTTCTTGGGGTTAAGGACCACTAAAGGATGAGAAAAATAAAGAAAAGTCAAAGCTGGGGTCAGGGGGAGCCCTTACCCTCCCGATGGGAGTAAGGAACTGCTCACCCACTGTAGCACCTTTAGTTTTACACTGGGAAAGATGGTATCAATTTCAGCCCCTCTGCCTAACAACCCACTGCTTGGCAGGCCTGGGCTCCTTGCCTTCTTGGTGCTGGAACAACTTGTTTACATTGCTTGTTTTGGTCTTTCTGTTTTTTCTGGGCTGGCCTTGCTTTAGCCCCACATGTCTATCTCCAGCTTCAACGGCTTCCTGAAGTCCACACAGGATCTCAAGACTAGGACAAAATGGAGATAGCCACAACTTCTGAGGTCAGGGAGTAGCAGCTCCTTGGTATAAGGAGTCTGCTCCTGACCCTTTGGCAGCGGGCTCCATCAACTCCATGAGACATTTGGAAAAGGTCTAATGGATACAAGCTAGGATCAGTCATACTGGAAATTCTTTCTTGAGAAATGAGAAATCTTGCACCATATTTGTGACCACCGTAGAAGCTGATGGACTGTGAAATAGCTGTTTGCTTCTCATAAAATATTGTGTGTTGATACAGAGACAGGGTGGATGCTCACCCTCAACATCCTCTCACTACTGAGAACTCTCACGTCTCATCTTTCTGCCTCACCCAGGACAGTGGGGAGGAAGTGCACCAGGATTGAGAACCTCACCACCCAGCTATGCCTTCTCCAAGGAGAAGACACAGAGACACAGCTGTTTGTTTGTTTGTTTGTTTTTAATACCAGCAGTTGCACTCAGGACCTTGCACTTGCCAGGCAGGTGCTTATGTCACTGAACCAAATCTTGGCCCAGTCACAGCTTTATTATCTTTCTCTCTTTTAAAGGACACCTTGTCTTTTACTCTCATGATAAGCTTCAGCGGGTCTTCCCATTGACATGTTTTCAGTCAATATTTATTATACATGTTTATAAATTAAACATTGGTTCCATAAAAATCCAGTCTCACTGTAAGAGATCTTGTTACAAGATGCTCTGAGAACAAAGAAAGAGGCAGACAGAGCCAGGAATGCAGAGTACAATTCCCTGGGGACTGACTGACAGAAGGGAGGTTGTGGGCAACAGTAGGACCAGTGGAGCCATGAACTTTGCATGGGAGAGAGGAGGTTCCTGTAGCTCTCAGGACAAGAGAGGCGTCACCCAAGCCATCAATGTGCTGAGTTAACTCTAGATAATAACAAAGATGCAAGCAAGTTCCTGTGCTGATGGTGCCAGGGTTTGGTCACAGAGCTCTATATACCTTTTGAAGGGTGTCACTTATAACACAGTGTGCTGGGGACTATGTGGGGAAAACAGACCAATGGGCCTTGGCAACCTCAGTGGTTACAGTGCTGGGTGACTGCGGTCCTGTCACACTGGGTTCCTATAGCACTGGTAAGGATCCTGGGGCTGAGAACTGGGATCTGAGGGGAAGAGGAAGGTCCTGGGACCCAACGGTGATATTCTGCAGGGACCCTCCCCAAACCCAGGCTCTGCAGTGAGCCAGAATCTGTGATCACCTTGGCGTGGTCTTGAACTTTTGGTGTCAGACCACAGAGTCCAAAGTGCACCTTCTGCACTGAGCAGGAAAAATCAGACATTCTGGAGACACAGTCATTTTTAAACCCCAGAAACACGCCCATGTTTCCTGTCTCATCCAGAAGAGAGCTCCATGTGGAATGACATCACAGCCTTCTGTCTGGTCAAAGTGCACTGAGCACCTGCAGCTGGTGGTGACAGGTGAAAGGACACTTATAGTCCCAGGCCCAGGCTTTGCCCTCACGAACTGTGCCTCCTCTCACAGCCCAATTCTGGGAAAGGTATGGGAGGAGTGAGTCCAATAAAAATGCTGTCTCCTTCTGTCATAGGACTCTACAACAACTCAACCCTGCCCAAACCAGAAGTGACCTCAAGGGGCTCTCTACTGCGGTTTAAGGCTTGGAATTGACAGGTTCATTGTGACTAAGGATGGAGAAGACAAGCTCCGCTAGACACGAGACTCACAGGGAGACCACAGTGGGCAGGTCCATTGGCCTTGTGACCCCTGGTCACAGGGGACATTTAGATGCTATAGCTATTATATACACCACAAGTATGGCCAGGCTACAGTGGTTCCCTGGGCATCCTGATCACAGGCAAAGAGCCCAGGGTTCAGTCTGGAACCCAGACTCTTCACAGACCTTAAAGGGAGGCCCAGGAGTTGATGATCAATGTGGCATAGGGGTGTCAGGAGTTGAAAAAAAGAAGAGGGGAGGCCAAGAGGAGCAGACTCAGAGGAAAACAGAAACATATGGAGACTGAAGGTCATCAGAACCAGGCCGCTGAGGCCTTAACTCAAAAAAAGGTGGGGCAGCCTCTTACCACCGTCTTTCTCTCCATTATAGCTCCCTGCACACTTTCCATCTTGGTGCAGCCAGGACATATTGTGTCTATAGGAGAGGATGTGACCCTGCTGTGTCAATCACAGTGCCCGATGTACACTTTCCTTCTGCCCACAAAGGAAGACTTGTGAAGCTCCCTTTCATCTAATGTCAAAGTTTTGAGCTCAGTGCTATGAGGCAGAATTCTCTGTGAGAGCTGTAGCCTCAGCCTTCAAGAGATCCTACTAATGCAATGATTCTCAGTACCTGTTGTTACTGTTCAGTGACATCCTGGACCTCGTTTTCTCAGGTGAAGAGGCCCAGTCCCTGTCTTGCATGCACTTAAATGATCAGTAGTGACATGACTGCAGGAGTTGCTCTCAGACCACAAGACATAATCAGATGGAGGAAAAGGTTAACCTAGCAGTGTCAACCCAGTAGAGGAGGAGAGAGCTGGGGCCTGCACCCCTGGGTTCTCCATACCTCTCCTCTCTGACAGGGCCAAAGTGTCGGGAAGGATGGCTTGAGACTCAGGGAATCTTGGTTTACTCTAAGCAGGTTCACTCTGACAGCCAAGGGCAGAGACTCCAGCCCTCTCTTCCTGATGCCCCATCTCAGAATCCAGACCTCTGTTGTCCCAGGACCCTGAATCGAGTTGAGATTCCTGCATGGCAGGAGCTCCTTCACCTTGACCTGAGGAAGTTTCTAGACATCCCCACCCTGTTCTCAGTAATCTGGGGAGCAGCTGTCTCCAGAGAAGGAGGGAAATGGACATTCAGGTGAACAGGTGGCTTGCTAGTGCCTGGCGATAGGTTTAAGGAAACATCTGGATTCTCCCAGTCCCAGAGTTCCGAGTGAACAAGGTGGAAGCTAAGGGTGGTGCTTCCATTCCTGAGCACGGGTCCCAGGAGTCAGGATGAGGGGAAACTGAGGCAGACACTGGGCAGGGGCAGGCTCCATGTGTGCTGGCCCAGGCTCTGTTGGGAAGAGCATTCTCTTCATGACTTAAATTCTGTATTCTGCTTTAAGAAGCTACTGGGATGTGACCTCTAGGAAACCTTCATTTCTACCCCATGGGAGTTCTGTGGTGTCCCTAGGCTTCATGGGAAACAGTGAGGGCGAGGAAAGGCATTTTTCTTGGTTTGGTGAAAGCCACAGAATTTCTCTTTCAGCCATGCTCATTTCACATTTTCCAGAGTCTGAGGCTGTAGCATCTCCCCAGAGCTGCGGTCCCTGAACCCTACGAAACACAGGCAGGAGGCTGCTCAGCCTCACTGGGGTTCAACTGCGGGAGAGATTGAGCCCCTAGCACAGCTGCTCCTGCAGAGAGAAAGAAGCACCATGCTGTGGGCGCCTCTGGACATGGTCACTCCGGAGTACCCTGGGGCTGCTGTGCTCAGTGCTCACCTGAGACTCGGAAGAGGCCGGCACTGCTCCTCGGGTCACTGGGGTCTCTACCCAGCAGTCAGGAGTGCAGTGCTGCTTAGTTCTGCTATGCATTTGGGTTTCACACTTGAGTATGCTTGCTGTCTTTTTCTCAAATTCAAAAACACAATTTCCTGTGAAATTTTAAAGATGTATGAGTATAACTTAAAAATATAAGTAATTATACTCCTATTTTCTGGGGATGTTTTAAAATCTATACAATAATTACAGAGAATAGCTTCTTAATACCAACTCTTTTTATTCAAGATGTTTAAAATTGAGTTATATAAGGGAACTGTAACAATGTTTCAAACTATAACAATGTTTCAAAGTCTCATTAATTTGAGTTGTGTATATTTACCAGAAATTTGTAGCATGATCCACTGTTTTAACTGTTTGTAAGTCAAGTCTTCATGACTTTATGTTTTCTGCATAATAATTTGCTATAGAGGGTAGCTATTGGTTTTTGTATGTTAACTTTATTTGATATTATCTGAACCTTTTCTTCCAATAACCCTTCAATGACCTCCTAAGATTCACTGATAAAACATATCAAGCAAAATTGATTTCTCAACTGTATACCTACCTTCATAATTGTTAAATGAATGTGTTGATATCTGTTAATATGTCTTGATCCACATAGCCAATATCCAAGAATTTCATTCATATTCTCATATTTTTTTTTCTGCACTAGATTAGGGACTTTGCTGCACAGATCGAATTCTCAGACCCGCCTGTCTTCATATTGTTTGTAACACAAAAAAACATAACAGATCATTTGTTCAGGAAAATAGCTGTCACATCTGCAAGAGCTAAGTTCCCAGGGGAAAGAAAAACAAGGAGATGAAGAAAATATATATAAAGACAGAAAACTGAGGTCAGTGGAGGCCTTATTCCATGTGGGAGGAAGAGTCTGGCTAAACCACTGCAATGCACTGATTTACATATTCCTCATATGATGCCCCCTGTTAACTAGCTCATCTCATGCCCCAGGTTCCTGGTGCTAGACTGCTTGTTTGCTGCTAGTGCTCCATGACCTCTGTGTACTCCTTAGATGCTCAGATGCACTGATGCTCCCCGGGCACTGGGTGCATTTGGGCTCTGCACATATGAACAATCATTAGTTCAGTGACACCCTCTGTATCATGGATTAACTTATCCTAGTTTAACCTTTGGTCACCTCAGGGTCTTTGTGCTATACTAGGCCATATGATTGTTTGTTCTGGAGGAGGCTTTACATATGTGTTATGTTTAAGGAAATGAATGCAGGCCCTTGAGTCTCATGGTAATGCTATTGGGACAGCAGGAGATGCTTTACTAAGATGTGTCCAAAAGGATGGTAAATATGAGGGCCAGAGATGATCCCTGGGAGACATAAACAATTGAGTTGTACTGATTCTGAGCTTTGATGTCCCCTTGTGGTCATTGTGAAGAAAAGACTAAACTAAAAAGCCAGAGAAAACTGTGACTGGGGCTCCAGTTCTAGAGTTTGCTGCCCTGATCCTATAACTTTGTTGCTGTCTTGTTTTCTTTTCATCTGCAGCATCTTGTTTTGGGGACCTGTGTCCTCATAGAAACCAAGAGCTCACAACATCTCCCTCTTTTTCTGTTTTGTAGTGGATTCAGTTGAATTTGGAGGAGCTGTGTTTGGAGAACACTGCAGACAAATTCCTTCCTTATTGTGATACTTCTCTGCTGAATGTTTAAGCCCAAAATAAAGTGAGATGTGTACCAATCAAAATCAGTTTCTTGCTATCCATCAAGGTCAGTCCATTCTCCTCAGGAATTACCCTGGAACCACATACAGCACTTGTTAGTATTTCTGTCAGTGTCCCTCATCTGGATGCACCATAGCCAGTCTTGACCAAGCTGATTTCTGTGAAATCTTAGGAGATTTCCTCACCTGGTGACTCACCTTAGGCACAATCCACATCACTGATCACCTCCATCTGTGGTCTCACTATCCTTTCATTAGAAGACCAGAGACTCACCAAGTTATGGGATGTTTCTGCAGAGGTTCTCTCATGTCCTCGATACTTTCCAACCTTGGGGGACTAGAACCAAAATATTGACTGTCCTCTATTTCATCTATCTTTTTAACTTTTTTGTTTCTAAATCTGAGCTTTTGAGCATCCAGAAGAATAATGACATTATATTGTAATGGATGCAACAATCTTAATATTACTCATATCTGAATATCAAACACCTTAGAACATAATATAGAACCATTATTCTTTAACAACCCTAGATATTCTAATATTTGAATTTTTAAAGAATATTAACATAAACAGTTACATATTTTACACAGAAAAGTAGAAATTAAAAGCCATACATAGAAGAGATCAAGATGGCAGAGCATAGGAAGCAGAGAACACAGCCTCTCTGAGAGTCACCATTCAGCCCCTGGATTATAGCATTATGAGGAAGACAAGAAGGAGGGAAGTGGGTCCTGGACCCAGGAAGATTCTGAAGTGTGAATGGAAGCCCATAGAGAGGGTGAAGAGAGAAACACAGTGTTGGTTACTATTCCCTCATTGCTGAGACAAAAACTTGAAGCCCAAAATGAAGGAAGGAAAGGTATATTTGGCTTACCGTTTTTTTGGAGGTCTCAGTCCATTCTGAGCTGGTTGGAAAGCAGGGTGGCATGACTGAGGGCAACTATCATGGCAGCTGCAAGTGACAGGACCTAAAAGGGAACAAGGGAAATACACACATCCTTCCCTCCCTTACATTGTATGCTGGCTCCCTGCCCCTGGGCGGGTGCAGCACTCACACTAACAATCCCAGCACTAGACAATGAACCAATCACAAATGCTATACTAAACCACCCTCAAAAGGCCCACCCCTATGATCACATGAGGCTTTTGGGGGGACATTTAAATAACCCACAAAAATATCAATGAAGAAAATGGTAGACAGCAGCATGTTCTCCCTGGCGTTGAGCTCACTCCAGGAGAGTATATTTATACAACTGACTTCTCTGAGTTCACTGAAGAGAAGGGTTTGCACTGGTACTGTCTGGACAACTGAATGCAGGTGTCTTGTGCTCTGGGTGACTGATTTGGGGATGACAGTACGCAGTGTGTGTAAGATTGTTGTCCCCTGATTGTTGTGTTTTGAAATTTTGTTTTTTTTATCTTTAAAATGAAATCATACTTTAAAAAATTGTCAGAATGAATCATTCTGACATTTTAGAACATAGTTTAATGTTCATTCTGACGTAATATTACTCCCCCCTTTTCAATTATCTGTATCTAATACATAAGATTTTGCCTAATTAATCAACCTTTAAGGTAATGTACATTACATAACTTCTTTGTTAAAGACAGACGTCTAAATCTCAAAGAAAAGTTTATCACTACAAACTGTCCTTATTCCATACTTTGGAAGACCTGTATATCCAAAAGCATTCAATGCACTACAAAAACAACAGTGACCAATTGTCATAGCCATATGAAAACCTTAGTGCCAAAGTATCTTCAAATCAAAAGATCTTATCATCTGAAACATTTTAATCCTTTGATGATGACCAATGTAAACATATCACTATACCATATTTTTAATAACATTTATGGCAGTATCATCCACAAAGCTATGGAAACCATTGGTGCTTCCTATAATGATCAAAGGCTGGGATTTTTCCCATGAGTTTTTCCTTTATTCACCTGAGGGAACATAACCAATAAGTCTTCAAATTCAAAAGGTTCCCTTAGTTATCTTAGCAAATTTCTGATGACCTCTGAGAAAACCCATTTTGATGTTATTTAACCAGTTGGTGCAGCCCACTGTTAAACTTGTAACCCGGGTTAATTTAAAAATACATGACCCAAAAATGTAAAAGGAAAAGATTAAATGAAAAAAATTCTTGAGCTCAAATAAAAACAGCTGTTTATGGATATGACAAGCTGACAAAGCAATCCAAAGCTTTACAAACTGACAATCAGTTCAACAGATACACAGGCAGACTGACAGTCAAAACATCTTACAAAATCAGAGTACAGTCACGTAGATTTTAACTGAATTAAATTATAGCACCACTTTTACAATTTTAGGAATTATAACTGAACTGTGAACTATTGAGATTTTATTACAAGTCAGAAAGCAACAATATATTTTTATATTTTTCTTTGGCTTAAGAATAACAAATAATCTCATGTCCCTTTCTTTCACACTGTCTTCAGTTCAGTTATCTCCGTATACTTTATCACCTTACTCAGAACTTGATTCCTATTTTTGGTTACCATCTCCTGGGTATCTTTGGTCCATTCCTTTAATTAGCCCTAGGTCAGACTCAGTCCCATCCTTGTCTGCCAGTTGTGCAATGGTCCCTGAGGAATCACTGTCTGCAGCTATTTTAGCAGTGGGATCAATTCCTTCTCCAGATCTGGGTTCATGATACAACTGGACAGCATGTTCTGGCACTCCGATCGGCTGTTCAGTGTTTTCTGGAAAAACACAAGCACACTCTCTATCCTAAGTAAGTAGTGGGGTAGAGAGCAGTGGTCTCTTCCATTGTCCAGCATGAATATTTTTCCAAAGGATCCTTCCTAATCTCTCTTCTTTTACCTGAAGAAATTGTCTTTCTGCTCTGTAGTTTGATCTTTAGTGGGATTTTAAAAGTTAACAGTAATGTTTACAATGCCTAAGGAGTAATAAAATCCAAAATGTGTAAATTTTGTTGTAAAAAAGAGAGGGGGGAAAAAAAGAGCTCTAACGGATATAACAGCAAGTGTGTTTAGGGGTGTTAAATAGCTGACTATATTAATGTTTTCGGATCATTGAACACAGCTGTTTGCAGTCTCTCTGTTTGAATGTCCACTTTGTATTCTTTGATACTGTGATTTGAGCAACTATTTCCAAGATGATAATATGTAATCTATTAACAGGTGATTTCTTACTGTTATGTTTTTTTTTTTTTTTTTTTTGTAGTTCTGTATTATGTGTACCCTTACACCGCTTACTTTGTTTTGTGTTTTTCACTTTTTCCTCTTAAATAAAATTTTTTAAAAAGTTAACAGTATGTACTTCTGGGTGAAGTCTATTATGAGATGTAAATTTTGTAGGGAGAAAATTCTGCCTTCTGTTTTTGTAATTGAATTTTGAGTGTGTGATAAGTACATTCAACAATTCCTTGACCTTAAGGTTTATAAGGAATTTCTGTCGTCAGGGAAATATGAAAAGTTTTACAAAATGTTTGGAAAACAACACATCTATAGGCTGAACCATTATCAGTTTAAAGCAGCCACAGACAGAGAAGGATACTAAAAGCATCCAAGCAACGAGCAGTGACAAGTTTAGCTGTTCCACAATTGTACACAGAAGCAGAAATGTATCCTGACACAGCGTTTCCCGAGGTGGGGACCCAGCATAGAGAATCAAACTAAGGAATGTGAGTGATATTCATTTGCCAGATATAATTAGCATATAATTCTGAGAGGCTAACCACCAAAGAGAGTGAGGGCAAATGTGATACACTTGAGGCACACTGTTTGACAGTTTGTTGAGTTGAAGAAAACTGTTTGCACAAGGAAGAAGCATTTTGGTGAAAGGTGGAATGTGAAACAGGAACCTGTTGAATGGCATTTGAGGGAGTGGCAGTGGCAGCAGCTAGCACTCTGTCTACTACAGCATTTCCCGCAGGGAGGGGCCCTGATGACTGAGGATGACAATGTAAGTGACCGATAAAACAGAAGATATGATGAGGTTGAATAGTAAACTGAGGAGTGTAAAAAAATAAAAACTATCTTCTTGGTTAGAGTGAATGGTGGCAGTTTCAGTGAGGTGCGTCACACCACAAATATAAGCATGGTGTGAGAAAAGATTATTTGGAGTAGATAAATGATCTTGTAAGGCCAATGTAATACCTTGAAATTCTGTCTTTTGTGCAGATAAAAACCTGTACCTTGTACTCAGGAAGAGAAGGCTATAAAATAACCTCTTTGCCTGAAAAGGAACCTTCTGTAAAAATGAAGACACCTCTGGCTATAGGCTGAGCTTATTTTAGAAGGGAAAACGAAAGATGTAAAAGAAGAAAATTGAATTAATTTGTCTGGAGGATAATGACAATCGAATACACTGGGGGAGTTTGTACATATGGCTTGCCAACAGGGTGAGAGTTGCTGTAGCCACCATTGTTGGACTCAATAAGCAATAATAATATTATGTACTTCACATCCAAAATATTGAATAGCATGCAACTGTCCTTGGATGATTGGTCCCTGCCACAGCATCATAAAAGACAGTAATGGCTTTATGTGGAATATGTGGCATATGTAGCCATCATAAAGGGCCTTGAGACTACCAAAGAACCACAGCAGGCATATATTGCATTGGAAAAATAATTTAAAATCTTTGCTGAAGACAGGGTAACTCTAGGTAGTTGAGCTTTAAAAAGAAATAAATTGTCTTTGTCAATGGCAGTTTTAGCCACGGACCTAACTGTACATGGAGAAGTGGAGGCCAGATCTGCTTTCAGGCTCATAAAGAGAGAGGCTGAATCATAAGTTGTTAGCTTAAAAGCTGGGCAGAGCCAATTAACACTACCAAGGAGGTTTCAAAATCAACCAGGTTTTTAAGATTATTAACCTGGATCTGAACAGTTTGGGGTATGATCTGCTTTTGTTAAATAAGGTGACCCAAAATACAGAACAAGTGCCATGGTTTGCACCTTTTCAGAAGCCACCACTAGACTTGTGTCATGAAGGGCATTATCTAATTGAGTACATAGTTGATGCAAGATGGATAAGGATTTATGTGTTAGAAGGATGCCATCCATATAATAGATAATATTGGCAGGCAGATAAACCTGATGGACTGACAGAGTGGCTGCTGACATAAACTCTTGACAAAAGTACTAGTATAGTGGTCTATTTACCCTTGCATATGGCAGATGATGCCATTAGAAGCAGTGCATAAGGGCTTGATGATTAATAGATCGTAAATTAAAAGCAAAAAGGTTTTTATCTTGAGGATGGAAAGGGATAATTAGAAACAGTCTTCTAAATCAGTCACCATGAGGGAATAATGTAAAGGGACAGCTACAGGGTTAGGCCACAAAGGTTGAAGTGCTCCTATAGGTTCCATAGTATTAACTGCCTGTAAACCCTGGAAACACTTCCTGATTCTTTTTTATTACAAAAGTTGGGGTATACAAAGGAGTATTAGGAGACTCTAAATGTCCCAGCATCCCCTGTTCATTAGGCAGTGTGTGAGGTGCTATAATCTTCTCCTGAGGGAGGGGCCACTGAGCAACACAAATGGGATTACCAGACATCCAGGTTACCCATGGGGCTAGAGAAGAGATCCAGGCCCCTTCTGAAAATCTGAGGACAAGTGTATTATTCTAAAAGATCCTTTTTAAGGTCTACTGGAAGGGCCTTTCTCCTTTCCTGATTGTAGTTACCAAATCCTTGAGTGGGGAGTAAGACCCTCTGTAACATCATTGGGGATTTGGATCAACCCAGAATGTGCCCATATCCTGTAATATGTAAAGGTAAAAGACTGATGGGGTAGGATATAATGCAAAAAGTATAGAGAATATACGCTGCCGCCCTCCAAGCCAGCAACTTAGCACTGTCCACCCCTTCTAGATCTGTAGTTGCCACACTCAGAGACCATGACACAGGACAGTGATGCTGGGTAATAACTGAAACATCTGCATGTATGTCTAAAAGCCCTTTAAATGTTTGTCCTTCAATAACCAATTCCATCTCAGGAAAATGTTGTTTAATATGCTGAA